TTGGAGTCAGTTCAAAGCCATCCTGGGAAACAGTAGATACTGGTACCTTGAAACAAATAAGCGAATAGTAAATATCTTTGGGGATGAGGTGCTTGTGGGAATGTTAAGTATCCTGGGTGATATTCATCCATAGCCCCCCGAGGGTGGGGAACTGTGTAACTTCTCTGGAGTCAAAGTCAGCCTTCCTGGACAAATAATGTCTATGGGGCCATCGATTCTAAGTCAGGTCCTCAGCCCAAACCCAGAAGATGTTCACACTGCCCAGAAGATGCTCACACTGCCCAGAAGATGCTCACATTGCCTGGAAGATGCTCACACTGCCCAGAAGATGCTCTCACTGCCCATATCCCATCAATGACTCCCATCTTTGCCATGTAATAAGGAGCTGATTGCTGGCTTGAAACATTTGCCAGAAATGGGGAGGAACCGGTAAGCCTGTTTTTATACTTAAGGCCAATGGGTGTTCTGCAGGAGTATTGTCCTTGGCTCTAGTACCCATCTCATCCCAGATGCCACATTCCATGATGATATTGCAGGTGTGGCCCTGAGAGGCCAGGGTGAAATATTGCAGAGGGGGAATCAATGAATCTAGTTTCAAGGAGCAGAAACCTAATATATATTTATATGCGCAGATATATAGGCCAGTGGATCAAGAAATCCATTCTGTAAAAATAGCTTGCAGAAATATTATAAAATAGGCCAGCTGAGAATTCCCCAAAGATGGAACCTAGGTTAGCATTTAGCAAAGGAAGACATTTCATTTTTCATTCCTATCCCCTAGCTAAATCTTTTGAAGAGACAGATTTTCAACATGGATTTAAAAGAGGAAGAGGCACAATATTCATTGTTTAGGAAGGGGTAAGATTGTGCTCCAGCCAGGTTTGATATCCTGATATCTTTAGATAGTGCCACAGAAACTACACTAAGTACATATTGAATCACAATGAAGAAACGACTTCCCTTTGTTTCTGTTCCCTTTGAATCCTTCTGATTACACCAAGATAAATATCTCTGTTTGTTGTAGGTCTTAGCCATCTTCCCGGAACTTGACAATATCTCCTTTTAATAAAGAATGAGGAGGCCAATTTTAGCAGCTAGCATTTAAAGATAAGCTTAGTCTTCAGTTGTATTTATTTATGCCGTATCTTTTATTCATGGCTAATGTTCTTCAATTTGTATTAGTGATTTAAAGCTTCCTTATAATTACATTTGCTTAAGAAAATACGATGTGCCGGATGGTGGTAGTACACACCTTTACTTTCAGTACTTGGGAGGCAAAGGTAGGCGAATCTCTGAGTTCGAGGCCAGTCAGGACTACAGAGTGAGTTCTAGGACAGCCAGGGCTACACAGAGAAACCAAAAAGGAAAGAAAATGTGATGTAATGTAAAGCAATAATACAGCGGGATGTAGATACATGTAACAAACATTCTAAAGGGGAGGTGCTACTTTACCTAAAAATGTATCCATCTTTTGAAAAGGTGAGCAAAAGAACATTTTTGAAACTATTAAGTAGTGAACATTTTGTTTAAGAGACAAACTGGCCTCCAATTCCTAGACTCCAAGCAATCCTCCTGCCTCACAGCCTTACAATTAAGAGGCACGAGAAGCATGTCACATTGTGGCACCGATAAGTGATTGATGCACGCATTTCAGTCCTGGGAGCAAACACAGGAGCCCTGTGCTTACTAGTCAAGGTCTCTGCTAATGAGCAACACCCCAACCTCAGACGATCTGTATTTTAAATCTAAATGCCCCTTGATTTATTATGCATGTATGTCCCTAATTCTGTTTTCAGATGGAAGCCGGTAAGAATGTCCAATTTAACCACATTGGTTACCAAGAAAAACTTCCACTTGCTTCTACTAATCACACTGGAGTTTTTAAAAACCACCTTTAAAATAGGCTTTCTAAAGATGAACAGCCCATTAGCTAGCAAAGCTGGTTGGACTGTATCTGCTTTGTGCCCACGTGGCCAATGTCCAGGTTGAGTCACGTTGTTGGAGAGGGAGAAGGAGAGGGAAAGGGCTGGTTAAGGAGACATGAAGGGGAACGTGCTAGTCTTAGAGTATCTACTGCTGTGACAAACATCTAGACCAAAAGAAATTTATGGGGGGAAAGGTTATGTCAGCCAATCCCTTTTAGTCCATCTTCCAGGGACGTCAGAGTAGGAACTCAAGGCAGGATCCTGGAGGCAGGAGCTGATGCAGAGATCATGGAGGAGTGCTGCTTACTGGTTTGCTCCTAGTGGCTTGCTCAGCTGCTTTCTTACAGCATCTGGAACCACTAGCCCAGAGATGGTCTCACCCACAACAGGCTGGAACTTCCCATATCAATCGCTAATTAAGAAAATGCAAGGCTTGCTTGCAGTCCAATCTCTGGAAATATTTTCTCAATTGAGTTCCCTCTTCCCAAATGGCTCCAGCTTGTGTCAAGGTGACAATAAACTAGCCAGCACAATGTTTGACATTCAACCCGTACATGCAGGAAAACTTTACAAATTAAAAAGAAGTACTTTGGACGGTAGTACCTCGCATAGGTAATAAATCCACTCCCAGAAGCTAGAAGGTTTTTAAGTGAGAACCCCAGTGCCTGAGATCAGCTATGTCCCTGTGAACTGGTGGTCAGTGAGGAGGCCCCTGAGACAAGATGCGAAATTGTCTCTGCTGCTGGATGGTAAGACCCTGTTGCTGAAGATACCATGGAGTTTGGTTGCCGTACATCGAGAAGTCAAGCTGGGACTGGGCTGGAAGCTTCCTTCCTGTTGGCTAGCTTTCAGTGGTGCCAGAACATGCTGTGCACGCGGTCAGGGAGAACCGTCAGCAGCAGTCTCCTTTAGCATGGATCTCCACTAATCTGCCAGACGCGGTGCGCCCACTAGAGCCGCAGTGGCAGGGTTGTTTGGGAGAAACCAGCCGCTCCATGATTGCATTTGCGGCCCACCGAAGGACAGGGAATTTTTAACTGTAAACTGGTCAAAAGCCGCTGGTGACGTCACCGGCCCCAGCGGGGAAGCTGCTGTTTTGTGAAGCGGGCCGCTGCTTTGTGGGAGAAGCAACTCTTGTTGGCAGGCATCAGCTACTGCAGACCTGTAGCTGGTCTAAGTGCTGGAAATAAGTGACTGTCGAGTGCTCAGGCCTCAAATGGGCGTCTACATCGCCCCCCTCTAAGGTTCAAGGAACATCACCGAAGACGGATCAAAAATAGTGTGGGAGCCTGATGAAGGGGTGCTGTGGAATGCTGTCTTCTGGGGGTGACATGGCCATCGCACTCCAGTACTCTCAGCAGCCGTGGTTACCTGACCCAAATCTGCCCAAGAAAAACAAAAACACCTCAAATAGGCTTCCTAGGGCTGGCAAGACGTCTCCATGAGTAAATGCTCACCATGTGGACCCGACAGCCAGCCTTCAATCCCCAGGTCCTGTGGTGGAAGGAGAGAACTATTCTCTGACCGGCACACATACAGTATAGCACACAGACACCTGCACCCACACACGTATCAGACTCACATACACCAATAATGATAAATACACTTAAAGCAGGTTTACTAGAGGTAAACAGCCATTCAGTTAGCTAAGTTAGCTGAACTAAATCTGCTTCATGCCTATGTTGTCCATTTATGGTCTGAGTCATCCTACCATGGTCGTTTATGTAGACCGGTACCATTTGACTCTCCTGTGGTGCTGACAGGAAGCTCAAGGAATCGTTAATGGGCAGCTCATTTAGATGATACTCCCTTACAAAACATGTCCAGCAAAAAAAAAAAAAGATTTAAAACATCAAAACAAATAATAAATATAACTACTGTTGGGAAATTAGGCAAAAGGGGAAATTGTTATGAACCCCATACTACAAACCCTCATTGCCTTGGTATGGTGGTACTTAACCCTGTCATTGTGAGTGTGTTGGTGAAGTTGCAAGATGAGTGTATACACCTCGTCATTTCCATTCTTTTTTCATCTCATTAAACAACTTTGCTTTCTGACAGTGGGTTTCATTCATCACATTTCCTTTTTTCTAAACATTTCAATGTATTACTTAGAAACAAGCACAGCATGATTAGATGTAAGCAGCTCACCATCAATACAAATCTGTTATCTAATCTACAGTCCATACCAGTTTACTTAATTATCTCAACAATGTCCTTTATAGCATCTCTTTTCCAGTCAAGGGTACAATCAATGATCACACATTGGAGTGAATAGATCCTTCAGGTTTCTTTACCTTGATACTTTGGAGATTTCATGCAGTTGTGTTAAAAATATCCATCAAATTGAATTTGTCTGAGTTTCCCCATGATTAATGGATCTTCATATGGCTGCAAATACTATGAGCATCATAAATATTTCTTCATGATATTTAGAAGTCCTAGCTCTCAGTTTAAATTTCGCAATATAACATAAATATATTAATATTGCAACAAACAACTTCAGACATACATTCTTTTTCATGTTTTGGACTATTTCTTTAAAATGTGAATACCAGAAATAAACCAGGAAATGTAAGCATCTTTGAAAGCATGTGATATAAACTTGCTAACTGCTTTCCAACAGGTCTAGGCAGTTGACCAGCAATAGCTGTCAGCCAGATTAAGGACTGATGGTTACATTTTTCTCATTCATTTAAATGATCACTTTAAAGATCCCACTCGGAGGGAATTTTAATTTGCCTTTATAGTATTTGGGGGTAAGTAAAATTTCCCTCTGTGGATTCCAGCAGTGACCACTATTTTGACTTCACACTGTTTTGGTTCCTGTGTGTTGATATGGTCTACATTCTCAGAGTAAGTCTGGTCTGGTGGGACCCCTGGATCTGTTACCTGACAGGGCCTCAGGAGCTCACCCTCCAGCTTGATCCCACCCCAGCTTTTCCTCGGGCTGTATTCTTCTCCAGCTACACTGTGTGCAGTCCACTGACAAAAGCATTCTTCCTTACCACTGGGACTTCGGTACTTCAGGGGACGAAAAATAATTTTCTCTTTATTCTTCACATGTATGGCCAGGACAGATCCCTATGAGGAAGACAGATTAATACAAGAGAATCAAACAGAAGCGTATGGAAATGTGTTCATCATACACGCTAGGGGATGCTCGGGATGTGTAATTCTCCAAGAGTCTCAAGGGAGGAGGGCACAGTTTTAAAGACCCGAGAAGAGAAAGAACAGGACGGCAGCTCGTGGCAAGGCGGGGACGTGACTTTGATGTGGATGTTCCCCGGGTGCTTCTTCTGTGTAAACAGGGCCTGCAGCTGTCTTTGGTGACCAACCTTCTTCATCCGTCCTGCCCCACAGGTGAGGGGTGACACCTCTGCTTCTGGAATGGTGTATTTTGCTTTTAGGAAAATGAGGAGGAAGCAGGAAACCGTTCTGGTACCTGCTTCTCAGTTGCCTTTAGCTCAAAATAATCCTTGTGCGAAATGAGACACTTTCAAGTGGCAGACTCACATCTTCCCAGCACAAACTTGCCGCCTCTCCCCAGTTCTCTTCCTCTTCTTGTACCCAGACTTTGAGGTGCCAGCTTAGCCGTCACTCATTCTTTCCACGTTACCCGCCTCTCCCCGGTTCAAAAGACTGAGTCTCTCCCTCTCCATCCACCCCTGCAGCCGTATTACAGGGTCAGTTTATCCCTCTCTGTGTTCCTCCATCACTTGGCACAGGCTCAATAGATTTGCTGTCTTAAGAAGCGCATATTAAGTCACTGGGGAACAAATCCAGGAGGTCTCTTGTTTTTCAGCGTCCCCTTCTGTTTTCTCTTGCAGACAAAATTTGCATCAGGCCTATGGACTCTCTATTGTCTGTGTGAGGCTACTTTTTCATCACGAGAGCAGTTCGGAGCCAGGCGCTAACAGTTCACTGACTGTGGGATGGAGTCAAAGGAGGAAATCAGAGTCAAAGGAATAAGTGGTGGTTGGCGTGAGTTCGAGGCCAGCCCGATCGACAGAGTGAGTTCCAGGAAAGGCTCCAAAGCTACACAGAGAAACCCTGTCTCAAAAAATAAAAAATAAAATAAAATGAGGAGATGGTTGGATAATTCATTTTTTTAAATGTAAAGCTCTGGAAATGGGCTGCTATACATTTTATCCATCTGCTAAAAAACTCTGTAGATGAGAATATTACTATCCAACATGGACCCATTAAGTATCCGTGGCTCCTTATACTAAAATAAATTAAAATTTCAGTTTCTGAGTCATCCTAGTCACATTTCAAGTGCCTGTTTGCCATGTATATTTATTAACTAATAACAGAAAAAAAAAAAGCAAGAATATAGGATTTGTCCATCATTGTGGAAAGGTATTGCATAGCACTAGTTTAGAACTCAAAGTTTTAACATGTTTAGCTCCTTCCAGAAGAAATTCACATTAAAATATTTGAAGCCCCCTTCTGCTAATTATTCTATAGGTGCCTTTTCCACTTGTGAATGAAATTACAACTTCATACCGATGGCCAGTCGGTCTGGCTAACCTAACAACTACATTCAGTTTTCAAAGTCATACCTTGAACTAGCAAATTAACAATGGGAAGGGTTACCTGAATATACAGTAGCCTTTAGTTTTTCCTGAACCCACTATATTTACATTGACTCTGATTTCCCACATCAAACTATTCGATAAAAGCAATCACATTTTGATATAGTTTTTATCATAATTAATTTAATTGCATATGGAAATTAAGATAATAGCTACAAGGACAAATATCTTGCATTGAAACCTTGCTGTAACTCAGTGAGAAAGTGTTTGCCTAACATTTATAAAGCCTGGATTCAATTACCAAGCAGACACATACACCTGTATAAGTATTTGTGTGTGGGGGGGTGCGCACGTGCGCCCACACCCCCACACCCCCACACCCCCACACCCCCACACACACTGTGCTGTTGTTGTTGTTGGTTTTCACTTGACACAAACTAGAAGCACCTGGAAAAGGATGCTCAGTTGAGGACCTGCCTCCACTAGAGTTCTGTGAACAAGTCTGAGGTGGCAGTTGATTGCTGATTGCTGTTGAAGGGACTGGCCCACTGTGGTTAGTGCCAGCCCTGTGGACTTGGGTTTGGGCTAAATAAGAAAGCATTCCTTCATGGTCTTTGCTCCTAATCCTGCCTTGAACTCTTCCCCTGACTTCCCTCAAGAAAGGATTATGTCCTGGGATTTATAAGATTAAATAAACCCTTTCCTACCTTAAGTTGGTTTTGGTCAGCGTTTTATCTCACATCAGAGAAGCAAACTGATACATATGTAAGGCATTTTGTACTTATAATACTGGTTTGGAATGTAGCTAAATGATACATTATGTGCTTAGCATATACAAAGACCCTGATCTAGTTCTTAGCAACACACACACACACACACACACACACACACACACACACACACACACACTTCATCTCCCCATCCCAGAAAACTAGTAATTGAAATCAAGAAGTGTTCCTAGACTCCAACACCAAACAATAGTGTCTTGATTGACAGGGCTCTTGCTCTTTGAGAAAGACTGCTAAGAAATAAGGAAATGCGTAGCATTGTTTCACATACTTTCTCTCTGTGGAATCAATACTTCAAACAGAGCCTAAGTATGAGACAGGAGACAACCATGCAAAGATCTAGTGTTAGAGAGGTGAAAAGATCATCTGGCTCCCTCTGCCTGGGCTATGTTATTATAGTCTAGAAGGTTTGTCCAGATGCAGTAAGTGCTAATCACCTCCCCCACCTCACCTCCCTTCCCCCACCCTGGAGCATCATCTCATGTCCTTCTACCTCTGAGGCAGTTATTCTGATTGTTTTATTATTTGTACTGTACCTAATGAGACTGGCATTTAAGGAGTCCAGACTCACATGGCTACTCAATGAGGGAAACTGGATCCAAACATGGAAGCCAGGGTTGGGACCCCAGAACACTAGGCAAATGTCTGCCTGACCTTTGTAAGGAGTTATAAGTGCATGTGAATGTGACTCAGATGACCATGTTTAGGCGTTCTTCCTTGGGTTTTCTTATGAACATTTGTTTATAGTAGATGTACATATGTCCATCAGCTGTAATATCCACTTGGTAAAAGTGGTGTTTGGGCTGGAGAATTGGCTAAGTGGTTTAGAACACTGGCTGCTCCTCCAGAGGATCCAAGTTCAAGTCCCAGCATCCATATGGCAGCTCATAACTTTCTTTAACCCCAGTTCCAGGGGATCTAATGCCCTCTTCTGGCCTCTGTGGGCACCAATCACATATGTGGTGCATATATATATGCAGGCAAAGCATACATACATATAAATATTAAAATAATTTTTAAAAGAATGGTGTTTTGTGTGTGTGTGTGTGTGTGTGTGTGTGTGTATGTGTGTGTGTGTGTGTATGTGTGTATACATGCACGCTGGGGATTTCACACAAGGCCTTGTACATGCTCAGCCAGTACTCTACTATTGAGCTATATCTCCAGCCCAATGCTGATAATTATTAATGGATTGCCAGAAGAATTTAAAAGTTATTTTTCTCAGAAATCCCTATTGCTACATCCCTCTGGCAGTGTCTCAAACTGAGGTTAGTAAATCCATCCATTCTCACTCATTCTGGGAGCTGTTACAACATACACTCTAGGCTCAGTGGTGCAGCTCTTCCCTAAAGTGTGCAGGACCCTGCAAAGAGAAAGAGAAATGAAGGGAGGGTAGGGGAGCTGATAGGGGAAGAAAACAAATGGAGGAAAATCAGCGGTCACTGAGCCCCATCTAGAGTCAGGATCACTGACCTCTGTGATCTACTTGTCGATACCCTATGCTTGTCTTGAAGTATGTCTTATCCTGTGATGCAAGTCATTGCTTGTTTACACAACAGCCTTTCTCTTTGCGGTCCTCTGAGTGGCACCCTGATTTTGTGGCTTTGATGCTGAGGATAAGATGCTCTAGACCACTGGAACTCAGCCTGGAGCAGTCAACTCAACAAGGTCATTCCAGCTTCTTCCCCTGAGGTTAGCTTGGGGACACGGTTCTTGGCAAAAGATTTAGAAAGAGGCATCTCTGCTGGGACCATCTGGGAAGTAGTTTCCTTTGCTCTAAGAAGGGGAAGTCATACAGAGGGGACTTGGTTGTGTGAGGAAGCGACACCCAGAGCACTTGGAAAGCTCATGTGTGAAGGAGGTGGAGCGGAAGGTGGAGAGGAACTCCAAGGCCTGAACCAACCTCTCCACCAACCTGGAGTCGCTTCCCTCCAGCTCCCCTGGAAGAGAGAGAGGCGCTGTGCCTTCTCTCAACCACCTCGAGAATTCTGAGGCTCGCAGCCTAATTGATATGCCTGGCTTTAAATGAAACAGAGCTTTGGTAGTAATTAAAGTCTTAAAATGTCAAGGTTTTGTGGCATGCGACATCGAGTTAAATCAAAAAGTGTCTATGACAAGAGTGTGAGAAAATTAGCAGGGGCTGACCTGTCTGTCTGTGGTGGTTAACAACAAAGGCTATTCTTAGGCCAATAGAGCTAAAACACTTGCCTTAAGCATTAGCTTTGAGTCTTCAATTTCCAAGAGAAATGATATATAAATTTCCCAACCTTTAGAGAAAATCAGCAGTCACCTACAGGTTTTCTTGCTCTGTTCCTGCAAGAGGGTGGGACACACTTCCCTCTCCTCCCTTGGGAAAGTCCCTACAAATAAGAAATAAATAGATGTGAACCATGGTGAAGGCAAATCCCCCACCCCAGGTGGCTGGTTCTCCTGTCCTTTTCCCATGACCTTGGTCTAACCAGCCACCTAGCAGGTGGTTACTCTGTAAGATGGGAAGCAGGCATTCTCACATAGTCATCCCTTAACTAACTCCAAATTTCTTCTCATCTAAAACCCTGAGACTTCAAACTCAGAAATCATTTCTGAAGCAAAATAACAAAGGAAGCTTACTACAAAGCCAGAGTCCCATCCTCCACAGGTGGCACAGGAAAGGATCCAGAAATGAGCTTTCTTCTGTGGGGTAAATTGTGCTTTGAAGAGTCTGCAGTTGTCAATGCACCAAAATGCCCTTCTGTGGCCATTACTCCGCAACACCCTCAGGGGTTGAGGGCTGCTTTACATATGCACTATGAAAGGGAAATTTATGCAAATGCATGGATGACTTATGTCTCTCTACACCCCCTTCACGGTAATTATCTGCCTTCTTCAGGCACAGGAGACTAAGGCTTAAATAACCTACTCAGGTTACCCGTCACCTCTTGCTGCTCCAAGCTGTAGTTGGCGTTTAAGGACCAACAACATTTTATAACCTCTTGGTGAATCCTAATTGATCAAAAATCCCACACATCTGAAGGTCCACAACTAGAACAATCATTTGGGTGCAGAAATGTATACTGAAGCAGGAGTGATGGTTCTTGCCTATAATCTCAGCATTCAGGAGGCTGAGGCGGGAGGAACACAGTGAGTTCAAAGTCATCCTGATCTACAGATTGAGACGCCATTTCAAAAGAGGGAGGAAGTGGCTTTGGATGTGGCTCACTTGGTAGCATGCTTCCTTGGCATCTGTGAAGTCCTAGGTCCAATCCCTTAAAACCGGCCAGAGTGGTGAATGCCTCTAATCCCAGCACTCAAGAGAGGGGGTAGAATGAACCAAAAGTTCAAGATCATCCTTGGATACAAAGCAAGTTCGATGCCAGTATGGACAAGAGATTTTTGTCTTTAAAAAGGAAGAGTCAGAGGGTTTGGGGATGGCTAAACAGTGACATTTCCTTGGTTGATGTAAAGATTATTTGTGAGGTGTGTGTGTGTGTGTGTGTGTGTGTGTGTGTGTGTGTGTGTGTGTTTTCTAGGTTTTTGTTGTTGTTGTTTGTTTTTTAAGTTTTCATTCTTCTACTTACACATGGCTGAGAGTTAGTCTACTAGTCCTGGGACCAGGTTTCAAGGGCTACTGTCTAATTACTGTTAAGGGGAGCTCACCAGAGATGACCACACAGACACAGTTAATAGCCAATTGAAAGTCTATTCCAGCCAGCTCCGA